TTGATAGGGCAGGGCTAGCTTTGTGGCATAGCGGGTAAAGTCACAGCCTGCAGTGCGGGCATCCCATATGGGTGCCGGTTTATGACTGGAATGGAAGAAGAGCAGCTGGGACATGAACCAGTGGCCATATGGGATGCCGCAATGCAGGTGGAGGATTAACCTACTATGCCAGAGCCTCAGCTCCTCATTGCATCTTACAAATCAGCTACAATTTGTAAACCTAGTTGACTTCTCAGAGGCAGAGGCTGTGGCTTAGCTGGTGAGGCAGCCGCTTGCAGTGCTGGCATCCCATGTGGGCACCAGTATGGGACCCAGCTGCTTCATTTCTGATACAGCTCTCTGCTGTGTCCTGGGATTGTGGTGGAGGATGGCCCAGGTTCTTGGGCCCCTGCACCCATGAGAGACCAGAGGAGGCTTCTGGCTCCTGGTTCCTCTCCAAAAGTGCCAGGCAGGACCCAGCAAGGACACGAGGGCCCCCACGCAGCTGCTGGGGCTCCTGCTGCTCTGGCTCCCAGGTGAGGAAGGCCAGCAGCAGGAACGGCCTCGGGCAGTGTGGCAAGGGCTGCCTGTCTCTGCAGGAGCGTCCTCTTAGAACGGGAGGATGAGTGTGGTCTCTGTGTTTCTGTTTCCCTTCTCAGGTGCCCGATGTGCTGCTGTGATGACCCAGACTTCACCCTCCGTGTCTGCATCTGTGGGAGACACAGTCACCATCAATTGCCAGGCCAGTCAGAGCATTAGCAATGAATTAGCCTGGTATCAGCAGAAACCAGGGCAGCCTCCCAAGCTCCTGATCTACCAGGCATCCAAACTGGCATCTGGGGTCCCATCGCGGTTCAGTGGCAGTGGATCTGGGAAACAGTTCACTCTCACCATCAGCGGCGCACAGTGTGACGATGCTGCCACTTACTACTGTCAAGGCTATTATTATAGTAGTAATGTTGATACCACAGTGATACAAGCCCTAAGAAAACCCCCCCAGGAAAGCAGAAGTGTGAGACTGGGCTGCCCCAGCTGCTCCTCCTGGGCCCCATCTGCTGAGAGTGATTCTCAGAGCAGCCAGGCTTGAAGGTCCTGCAGGGTCGGGTGGAAGGGGCCAGGCTGACTCCTCTGAGGCTCCCTCCTTTCCTCCTTGGTGGCAGCAGCACAGACATGACCATGTTTACTGTTCTAAAAGAAATCAGTTATCCTCTCTGAGTATTCAACTAGAGCATCATTTGGGATTCATAGAGTAAAAGAGAAAGCATTATACGTATTCCAAGCAAACAAGTTTTACTGCAAGTGATTATATAATTTCTATAAAGGCTATCAATCTCATAGCTACAGTTATTTTTATTTTTTAAGATTTTATTTAAGAAGTATAAATTGCAAAGGTACATTTGGATTATAGCGGCTTTTTCCCCCATAACCTCCCTCCCACCCACAACCATCCCATCTCCCGCTCGCTCCCCCTCCCATCCCATTCACATCAAGATTCATTTTCAAATATCTTTATATACAGAAGATCAATTTAGTATATACTAAGTTAGGATTTCAACAGTTTGCACCCACACAGACACACAAAGTATAGAGTACTGTTTGAGTACTAGTTATACCATTAATTCACATAGTACAACACATTAAGGATAGAGATCCTACATGGGGAGTAAGTGCACAGTGACTCCTTTGTTGATTTCACAATTGACGCTCTTATTAATGGCGGCAGTAATCACCTGAGGCTCTTTTTATGAGTTGCCAAGACTATGGTAACCTCTTGAGTTCACCAGCTCTGATCTTATTTAGACAAGGTCATAGTCAAAGTGGAAATTCTCTCCTCCCTTCAGAGAAAGGTACCTCCTTCTTTGATGGCCTGTTCTTTCTGCTGGGATATCACTCACAGAGATCTTTAATTTAGGTTATTTATTTTTGCCAGAGTGTCTGGCTTTCCATGACTGAAATACTCTCATGGGCTTTTTAGCCAGATCCGGATGCCTTAAGGGCTGATTCTGAGGCCAGAGTACCGTATAGAACATCTGTCATTCCATGAGTCTGCATAGCTACAGTTTTTTAAAAAGATTTATTTGCTTATTGCAAGTATCTGCTACATACACCACACACACACACACAGACACTGAGAGAGAGAAAGAGGGAGGAAGAGAGAGAGAGAGAGAGAATTAGATTTTGAGGACGAGATACAGAGAGTTATTTTCTGTGCTCTGGTTCACTCTCCAAATGGCTGCAATGGCCGAGCAGTGCTTGGCAGAGCCAGGAGAAGAGAGAACTCCTTTCATTCTCCCACATGGTGCTGGAGCTCAAACGCATGGGCCAGCTCCAGGTGCTTTCCCAGGCCAAGCAGGGAGCTGGATTGGAAGATAAAAAGCCAAGACTCCCACCGGGGCCCATGAGGGATGCTGATGCTGCAAATGGCGGCTGTACCCACTGCATGAGGCCGGCCCATCCTATCCACAGTGGTGAGGGCATAATACCACTTCCCACATGTCCTCCCTCCTTCCCCACTCCCCCCCACTCCTCTTCTTTTTCTTTAAGTTTACATTGACATACTTTTGACTTATAATCACCAGCTTAATCTTCCACAAAACAAAAATTCAACAAGGGGTAAATAGAGAAACCACTCTTCCTCTAGAGGTTGTGAGTCTCCATCCTCCCAGTGCCACTGTCACTACCAGACCTAAGGTGCACTGGTGCCCTCTGGGGGTCATAGGTGAAATTACATCAGTTATCTCTCCCTGATTGAGCAGTTCTTCACTCAATACAAATTCTACCAAATTGAACAATAGTGGCTTCATCATTTGCACACAGTGGCACACGACTAACAGTATAACAACCACCTAATCAGTATAACAATCACCTAATACAGTGATTCACTGTAAAAATTCAGACAGATCTCATAGATGTTACATGTTAGTGGGCAGGGAGATAATGCACACACATAGAAGGATCTCCACCTGCTCCCACTGTGCCGTGTGTGAGATTCCTCCCTGGGGCACTGCCATTGCTCGGGGCAAGTGGGCAGTGTGTGTCCAGGTCCACTTAGTGCATCCTCCCGTCTCAGGGGCAGAGGCAGAGGGAACGTATCAGGCAGTTCAACGTTTGTGTTTCCTGAAAAATATACTAATTCTTGTCTTATTAATGGTCTGACAACCAAATTATCCTTCTATTCAGGAAAAAAAAAGCTTTTAAAATTTCTTAAACCACTAAAGCATGAAACCAGGGAACACACAGGTGAGTAGAAGAATCAGTGCCCAGAGACTGGAAATAAAAAAAGAGGAACCCAGTTAGGAAGTGTGTTTTGTACTGTGATTAATCTTTATTTCTAGCAAAGATAATCTTCTTAAATGTTCACCCTTTCCATTTTCCATAGCATTTGTTTATTTACTTGAATATCTGAGCATTGATAAGGTGCAAAATGAGAGAGACTGAGCTGCGTGGGGGTGGGGGAGAGAAAACAAAATCTTCCATGTGCTGCTACTTCCTAGGAGATCCTGTCAGCTGAGGCGGAGTGAGGCTAAAGTCAAGAGCACAGAACTCCAGATGACTCCCAGTGTGTGGCAGGGATACATGTGCAGCCATTTCTTGAAAAATCATAGCCCTCGCCATGTTTTTGATTCATGACTCTTTTACGTCACACCAAAGCCATTAGGGAATAAGAGCAAGCAGAAGCCGCCCTGGCCTCAGTGACGTCCACCAGAACCACACCGAGGAGCTGCTCAGCTTCTCACAGGTTCTGGGCTGTGCAAGCCCTGCAGCCCCTGTCACAGGTAGAGCACTAGCAGCAAAACTGGGCTGAGCCGTGAGGACACTCTACCACGCTGGTCCTTTCTCTGCTGAGACCCGCAGAGAGACATTCTCTGAGGAAATTCTGGGCAACCTGGGTCTGATGTGGACACCTGGGGACACTGCGCATGTGTGCAAGTGCTGTGGGATTGGAGAGAATTCTCCTATCTGACTGCATCTCAGCAGGCAGGGTTGGTTACACAAAGTCCCATGGTGAGCAGGTGCAGGTGCTGGGATTTGAGCTCAGGTCACTATAACTTTAAATCCATTCCATCCACTTGTCTGAGTTCATCCCATGGCAGAGCACAGAGTTTAAAATAACACAGGAGACAAACCCAGGATGGGATAGAACACACAGCTCCTCACTGTCACCGCCTCTCTCCACAGGGACACAAATCTGCACCCAGTCCCTCCTGCAGCTCTGCCCCAGACTGCCATTCTCTCAGAGCCTCCTCAACCCCAGGGGACTGCATGTCAGTGTGGGGCAGGGCCTCCTCTGCATCCCAGACTCTTTCCTCTCCTCCTCCATCCCTTCTCATCCCTCCATTCATCCTACCTCTAATGTCCCTGTAACTACAATTTCTCCCCTCCATGCAGACACAGATCAACCAATCAAAGCCTCCTCTTCCACTCTGGTACTTTGATAGTTGACCCTGCGCTGTCACATACCTGCACTGACAGGAGGTCATCAAGATATTTACCCAACAGATTCTCTCTCAGAGGCACTGTGTGCTCGCTCAGCTTACAGTCAGTTGTTCTCTGTGTGCTATAGAATAGACCCCACGTGAGAACACAGTGACATTGGGAGGATATCAGAGCCCAGCCACTCACTAAAAAGACAAAAGACACTGACTTCACCTCCCAAGGTGTGACCAGGTGTTCTCTAGAGAAAAGGACTTTCTGATACAGAATCCCAACCTAACCATGAATAGATTATACCATCAGGTAGTTCAGTTCACTTAAATTGTTGGCAAATGTCCATCAGGGACTTTAGGAAGTGACGTCTCCCAGTAGAAACATGCGCACTGCAGGTAAACTTGTGCAGCCCTGGTCTGAGCTGGGACAGCTGGAGACACAGCCCCTGGGCTGAGTTCTGAGCTGCCCTGGGCCCTTCAGCTGGGCACAGCCCTGCCCTGCCCCTGCTCATTTGCATGTCCCCAGAGCACCGCCCACCTCTCTGGGCATTTAGGCCCAGGCTGCTCCCACCCCATGAAGGAGGCAGTGCCAGGCAAGACCCAGTATGGACACGAGGGCCCCCACTCAGCTGCTGGGGCTCCTGCTGCTCTGGCTCCCAGGTAAGGAAGGCCAGCAGCAGGAACGGCCTCGGGCAGTGTGGCCAGGGCTGCCTGTCTCTGCAGGAGCGTCCTCTTAGAACATGAGGATGAGTGTGGTCTAAATGTTTTTGTTTCCCTTCTCAGGTACCACGTTTGCCCTCGATATGACCCAGACTCCATCCTCCGTGTCTGCAGCTGTGGGAGGCACAGTCACCATCAATTGCCAGGCCAGTGAAAGCATTAGCAACTACTTATTCTGGTATCAGCAAAAACCAGGGCAGCCTCCCAAGCTCCTGATTTATGGTGCATCCACTCTGGCATCTGGTGTCCCATCACGGTTCAGCGGCAGCAGATCTGATACACAGTTCTCTCTCACCATCAGCGGCGTGCAGTGTGACGATGCTGCCACTTACTACTGTCAAGGCTATTATTATAGTAGTAATGTTGATACCACAGTGATACAAGCCCTAACAAAAACCCCCCAGGAAAGCACAAGTGTGAGGCTGGGCTGCCCCAGCTGCTCCTCCTGGACCCCATCTGCTGAGAGTGATTCTCAGAGCAGCCAGGCTTGAAGGTCCTGCAGGGTCGGGTGGAAGGGGCCAGGCTGACTCCTCTGAGGCTCCCTCCTTTCCTCCTCCTTGGTGGCAGCAGCACAGACATGACCATGTCCCTACTGTTTTAAAGGAAAGCAATTATTTCTGAGTACTCGAATGTAGAACATCATTTGAGATTCATAGAGCAAAAGAGAAAACATTATACGTATTACAATGAAAATATTTTAAATAGTGGTGATTAGAAAATTTTATTAAGATACCAATTTCATACGTATAGTTCTTGTTTTTTTATATGCACAGTTTTTTTTTTATTTTGACAGGCAGAGTGGACAGTGAGAGAGAGAGACAGAGAGAAAGGTCTTCCTTTGCCATTGGTTCACCCTCCAATGGCCGCCGTGGTTGGTGTGCTGTGGCCGGCGCACCGCGCTGATCTGAAGCCAGGAGCACCCATGGGGTGCAGGGCGCAAGCACTTGGGCCATCCTCCACTGCACTCCCGCGCCACAGCAGAGAGCTGGTCTGGAAGAGGGGCAACTGGGACAGAATCTGGCGCCCCAACCGGGACTAGAACCCGGTGTGCAGGCAGAGGATTAGCCTATTGAGCTGTGGTGCCAGCCTATATGCACAGTTTTTAAAAAAGGTTTATTTGTTTTTTTGAAAGACTATGCTTTACATACACACACGTACACACACGCAGTGTGACAGGGTGTCTTTAAGGTTTTCCCATGGGACATAGCCTGCCCTAGTGGTCATAGGTCATCTTGGTTGGTTTCTGAGCAGGGACTGTTCCTCTGAGGGAAACAACTTATAGACATCAGTCTGCTCCTCCAGCTGTAACCGGCATATTTCTGACTTCTGTACACCTGCTGCTTGCTTGATAATTACCAAGGCCACCAAATGTAGTTTCTGCCTTTATACCCCCGCTACTGCAACTCGGGTCTGTCTTCTCTGGACGTGCTCTGTGACAGGGCAGACTCCTAATTTGACTTCAAAGGTCTCGCTGTGTTTTCATCCGTGTGCCGTACAGTATTAGTGACAGAGAGAGAGTTCTCTTCCATCTGCTGGTTCACTCCTCAATGGCTGCACCTGCTGAGGCTGTGCCAGGCAAGAGCTGGGACATGGAACTTCTTTCAGGTCTCCCACGTGGGTGCCAGGGCTGAAACACTTGTTCCATCCACTGGTGCTTTCCCAGGCCATTAGCAGGGAGCTCGTTTGGAAGTGGAGCAGCCAGGACTCCACCGAACCCATGAAGGATGCTGGCGCTGCATACCGGGGCTTCACTCAGTGCACAAGGCCAGGCCATCCTATCCAGAGTGGTGAGAGCATAATGCCACTTCCCACCATGTCCTCCCTCCTTCCTCATTCCCATACCCACTACTCTTCTATTTTGTTTTAAGGTCTACACTGACATACTTTCACTCTATAATCACCAGCTTCTCCCTCCACTAAGCAAAGAATTCAACCCGGAGTAGCAGCAAAACCACTGTTCCTCAAGAGTCTAGTCAAGGTGTGAGTCTCTTCCTCCCAATCCCTCTGTCACTACCCGACCGGAGGAGCACTGGCGCCCCCTGGGGGTCACGTTTGAAATCGCGTCTGCTTTCAATCCCTGCTTGAGCAGTTCTTCATTCAATTCAAAATGAAATAGCAAATTCTCACCGAATTGAACCAATAGTAGCATCATTGTTTGCACACAGTGGCTCACAACAAACAGTATCACAATCTCCTAGGCATAGAATAATTGTAAAACTCACACAGAGCCCTTCATGTCATAGATCTCTCATTTTAGTGGGCAGGGCAGATAAAAAACAAACATATAACATTCTACACCTGCTCCCACTCTGGTCCATGTGAGAGGCCTCCCCTGGACACTGCCATTGCTTGGGCAGGTGGACAGTGGGTGTCCAGGTCCACGTAGTGCATCCTCCTGTGTTGGGGCAGAAGCAGAGGGAACGAATCTGGCAGTTCCACACTGTGTTTCCTGAAAAGATACACTAATTGTAGTCTCAGTAATGGTCAGATGGCCAAATAGCCCTTCAATTGAGGAAATAGATTCTTAAATTTCTCAAATTGCTGTAGCATGAAAGCAGGAAACACAAGGGCAGTGGAAGAATCAGTGCTCAGACACTGGATGTAAAAATAATGGAGCCCAATTTTAGCAGGGTGTCTTATACTGTGGTGAATACTTATTTCTAATAAAAATAATGTTCTTAAATGTTACATTTTCCATTTTTCAAATATATATATATATATACTTGTAAGACTGAGAATTGACGAGAGGCAAAGACAGAGGGAGAGACAGAGAGACAGAAAGAGAGAGAGAGAGAGAGAATGTCTGTAACCTGGTGCTTTCCCAAATGACTGTAGCTGTGAGTTCACAGCCAAGCAGAAGCCCAGAGCCAGAACTGCCCCTGGGTCTCCCCTGTGGGGCAGGAATCCAAGAACTTGGGCCATTTTCTGCTTCCTCCCAGGTGTGCATTAGCAGGACATGGGATCAGAAGTAAGTAGTAGGGATTCAAACCTGACTCTGATGTAGGCTGCTGGCTTTGCAAGTGGCAGCTTTATCCACTGTGCCGCGAAACCAGCCTTAACTCCTCTCCAGATTTTCTTAAGAAAAACGTGAAAGTGTCTGGACAGAGGTGAGAAGAAAGTTAGTTTTTCTGATGTGCCGGAGGCCAGCTCCAGGAGATTCAGGGGTTCCCGATGGTTTGGAAGGCATCTGCATAGGGAGGAATGAGAGACGTGCTCACAACAAGGCTGTTAGTTTTACACATTCTTGACTATTCTCATAAATTCTGTAATGTCCACTCATTAGTGATCTTATAGAGATAATGATTCTTCTTTACGATAACACAGCCTATTTCCCATCCACTTTAAACCATTGACTTTGTATTATGTGTAACCCCTCCCCCATCTGGATTTCCATAGCCATGTAACAATTTCTTTGAGTACAAAGATTTACTTCATATTTGAGATACAATAGAACAGAGACTCAAAGTGATACTAAAGTATATAATAATTGATTACAAAAATATAGTGGTTATTTTGCAAAGAATCAGAACGTCTACTTATAATAATTGATTACAAAGATTGGAACATCTACCTTTTAATTTAACTGCACTAGTTTTTAATCATTAACGCCCTGCTTAAACAAACCTGTTCATTATACATGTCCTTTCCATATCCCTTCACTACTATTAGTTTCAGTAACTCATTCAAGACTCGCTCACTGATTTTGGTAATTACTTTATGTTCTTTCCACCAGGCCACACAAACTCTGGCACTTAGCACTGTCTGTGTTTCTCTCAGACACTTAAATTGTTAACTCTCATTTACCAGTCATTAGTCTATGATAAGACAGACTCTCAAGTGGATTATAGCAGAGACTGAAGACCTTCCCCAAGGACCCTCTCATCCCTAAATCAGGTCTAACTGTGTACCACATGCCCTACAGTTTGAGTTCCCACTAGGCTTTTACTGCAGGTAACTGAAGCATCGGAGAGGTTTGATTGACTCTAGGAGGATCCAGTCCATCAACAGCTCAGCCGTCAGTGAGGTCATTTGGAGCTGAGGCTGATCCTCAGAGATTTCCCAGAATGTAGGATCTTCAGCCAGATCACCAGGAAACTCTGGCTTTTTTGTATCAATAAATCTAAAACCAGCAAAAGGACTGCAGCTTGTGGTTCTCACACCCCACGGAGACAGACTCCTGCCAACCTGGCAGACAGCCAGAGTGGCCTTGGCCTCTTCCCTGATGTTCCTCAGACCTCTGGTGACTCCTTGAAACTCGCACTTCTGTTTTCATCCTGTATCCTTGACTCAGAACTCTGGCTGCAGATGGGAGAGCCCACCTGTGTGATCTCTCCTCTAAGCACCTGCATTCTCCTTCTGAGTCCTGGTCTCTCTCTGGCAGTCACTTTTTCTGAGGATGTTTATTCTGAGTCAGTACAGAGCTGAGTGTGGGACAGAAGTCTCGTCTCTCAGAGACCATCTCCTGGTGCAGCGGTCTGCCGTGAGGGGATGATGTGAGGGCATCAGAAAACAAACAGGTAAAAACAATGAAATCAGCTTTAAGGTGTAACTAAGTATTCCCTATAAAATGGGCTTTCTCCTCCAAAATCCCAACATAACCATGAATACATTACACCAAATTGTCCTCCAGTTCACTTAAAGTGTTTGCAACTGTCCCTCAGTGACTTTGGGTTGTGACGTCTCCTGGTAGAAACATGTGCAGTACAGGCAAACTTGTGGAGCCCTGGTCTGAGCTGGGGCAGTGGAGACACAGGCCCTGGGATGAGTTCTGAGCTGCCCTGGGCCCTTCAGCTGGGCACAGCCCTGCCCCGCCCCTGCTCATTTGCATGTCCCCAGAGCACCGCCCACCTCTCTGGGCATTTAGGAGCAGGCTGCTCCTGCCCCATGAAGGAGGCAGTGCCAGGCAGGACCCAGCATGGACACGAGGGCCCCCACTCAGCTGCTGGGGCTCCTGCTGCTCTGGCTCCCAGGTAAGGAAGGCCAGCAGCAGGAACGGGCTCGGGCAGTGTGGCCAGGACTTTCCCTCTCTGCAGGAGCATCCTCTTAGAACGTGAGGATGAGTGTGGTCTCTGTGTTCTGTTTCCCTTCTCAGGTGCCACATTTGCAGCCGTGCTGACCCAGACACCATCGCCCGTGTCTGCAGCTGTGGGAGGCACAGTCACCATCAAGTGCCAGTCCAGTCAGAGTGTTTATAATAACAACCTCTTATCCTGGTATCAGCAGAAACCAGGGCAGCCTCCCAAGCTCCTGATCTATGATGCATCCAATCTGGCATCTGGGGTCCCAGATAGGTTCAGCGGCAGTGGATCTGGGACACAGTTCACTCTCACCATCAGCGGCGTGCAGTGTGACGATGCTGCCACTTACTACTGTCTAGGCGGTTATGATGATGATGCTGATACCACAGTGATACAAGCCCTAACAAAAACCCCTCAGGAAAGCAGAAGTGTGAGGCTGGGCTGCCCCAGCTGCTCCTCCTGGGCCCCATCTGCTGAGAGTGATTCTCAGAGCAGCCAGGCTTGAAGGTCCTGCAGGGTCGGGTGGAAGGGGCCAGGGTGACTCCTCTGAGGCTCCCTCCTTCCTCCTCCTTGGCAGCAGCAGCACAGACATGACCATGTCCCTACTGTTTTAAGGAGGGCAATTATTCCTTTCAAGTATTTTAAGCTAGAGCATTATTTGAGATT